GGCCCACGCCTTGAATCCCAGCACTCGGGAGGCAGAGCCAGGCTGATCTCTGTGAGTTCGAGGCCAGCCTGGACAACCAAGTGAGTTCCAGGAAAAGGCGCAAAGTTACACAGAGAAACCCTGTCTCGAAAAACCAAAAAAAAAAAAAAAGAAATTGAAAATATCAGAAGATGGAAAGATCTTGCATGCTCACAGATTGGTAGGATTAATATAGTGAAAATGGCTGTTCTACATGAAGCAATTTACAGATTCAATGCACTCCTCAACAAAATCCCAACACAATTCTTCACAAGTCTTGAAAGGACAGTTCTCAGGCTCATATGTAAACACAAAAATACCCACGATAGCTAAAACAATCCTGAACAACAAAAGAACTGCTGTAGGCATCCCCATTTGGGATCTCAAATTGTGCTACAGAGCTATAGTAAGAAAAACAGCATGGTATTGGTGTAAAAACAGACACATTTGGTCATCAGCATTGCATTGAATACAGAGACATAAGTCCACAAATCTATGGACACGTGATTTTTTTTTTTTTTAATAAAGAAGCCATACATATGCATTAGAAAAAAAAAAGACAGCACCTTCAAAAAATAGTGCTGGTCAAACTGAGTGTCTGCATGTAAGGAAATGTAGTCATACTTACCACGATTAACTTTAATTTATTTTTAGGAATTTCATTTTAAAATATAATGCTATTTCTTCTGCCCAAAAGCATTTGCCCCAAAGGAGGCACAAGTGAAAGTAAATGTTAAGGAAAAAGAAAGAGCCTGACATTCTAACATTGAGGTGAGGGGACGCTTGAGTCTTTTCAGAATATGAACAAAGTCCCTGAAGGCTCCTGATCTGATGCATCTGACCAGGACATCCAGAGACCACTGGAGAAAGGAAACATCTAAAACATTCAACCAGGACATGTAGAGACCACCAGAAGATTGACATCTCTGAAGATGAATGACAGATCTATTAAGAGGAGATGTCTCAAGGGGAAGAGTAAGCAAATAATGTGGGGAGACATCAGGACAGGACATTAACTCATTAAGCTGAGGCTTTGGGCTAACAACAAGGACTAATCCAAATGATAGTTATGTTTAATGACTG